GCTTCCTGCATTTGGGCACAATGTCTTCTTTTCATCATTCTCAAAGTGCTGAGGCTGGATCTTTTTTTGTTGCTGTTATTTAGTTTTCTAAGACATCTCACTATAGTTCTGCTCATTCACACTTGTTGTTATTGTTCTCAGTAAGGAACGGAAATAGTAAGTAGTTTTGCGTTAATGGCAAGCGCAAAATCTGGATAAAAATGTTTTCAGTTAAAGGTCTGTTTATTGTGAAAGAATGGCAACTCTCACAGAGGGTAAGCTATGAAAACTTTAAAGATGTTTTCAAGAACAGAGCAGAAGCAAACATCTCGTGCACAAGCTGTGGCTTAAAGGGGGTGTGAAGCGGTGGGAACCTCACTGAGTAGATTTAAAATAAATTAAAAATGAATTTAGGACTTACACATTTATAAGTCAGTGATATGGGTCACGGAGTATAAACTCTGTGAAAGCAGGGATTCTTTTTTCTTTTTGGTTGTTGTTCACATGGTAGATTCCTAATACATTTTTGTTGAATGAATAAATGTGGCAATTGAAATAGACAGCAGATCAATATAACCTTAGCCTTTATTAATAAGGAAAATGATGGTTTGATCGTTCTGCTATGGGGAGGTCCCATTTTATATCTAGAATATTGGATATCACATTTAAAACAAGAATGCTAGAAGTATTCTAAAGGGCCAAGGTATGAAGAGGCTTGAAATCCTGTTTTGAAAATTAGTTAAAGGAATCGGGAATATTTAGGTAGAAAGTTCTTAGTGGTAGGTAGCTGGGTAGATGGGATTCAAACATTCATTAAATTATTTCAAGTAGTTCACCTGTAAGAAACTTTCACTCTTGTGACCCAGTGGCCCCCGCCTTAATATCTGGAACATCTGCTACCAGTTTTCTATGGAGCCTTTTGAAAATACAGCATCACAACTAAGGTATTTGTGTCTAATAGGGTAACTCTAATACCTAGATTAAACTGTAAGGTTTGTTAGTTGTTAAACCTAGATTAAGTCATGATAGTATCATATTCCTTATAGAGATATATTTTGAAACATGATGAGATGAATGAAAATTAAAGTCTAAACCAAAGTGTTCCAAGAAAAAGAATCAGTTTACGATGGCCTGCACAATTAACGGGATCATCTCTCAAGAATCAAAATTTGAAGTTATTTTCTTTCACCTTCTTTCAACCCCTCTTCACAGTTACTCATCTTACGCACATAGTAAGTATTTCCTCTCTAATCAACTGTATGATGGTTGCTGTAAGAATGATTATCCAGTGTTTCTCAAAGTGTGATCCCCTCCTGTCTTAGAGGCTTTCCAAATCAAGGGCTGTTTTTTGGTTCTTAAGAGCCACTTCAAAAGCCCTATTTATATGGATAAGAGCTAATTTTCATATGGATAAGGGCTAATTTCGAGTAGCCTACAGAGTTTGTTATTAAAGGTTAATAAAATTTAATGCTTTTAAGCTAAAAGTAGCACATGATGAGTTCACTGAGGGTCTGACTTCACAAAGTTCTTGGCAACACTGCAAACTTCCTCTTTGTGTCTGGGCATATGCAGATCTTTGGAATTCCCAAAATTTTCTAGAGGGAAAATTGTTATTATTGAATTATCTGTGTTGGTCTAATCTGGTTGTAGATTTTGATTGTTGTTAACTTATTAATGTCTTGTAAAATTTTTACTTTTGCTGATTTTTTTTCTTTTAATGATGATTCTCATTTTTAGTATTACTTTGTACGTTTTCAATATGATTAAAGTTCTTTTTGCTCACTAAAAAGTAAGGATAGCTGCAGTGGGTAAGAGAAAAGTTTTAAAATGGAATTTAAGTGGGCCAAATCAAAAGCCTTTCCAAACCACTGCTCTTGAGAGCTCATTTCCTTCATGTAGTTGTGGAAGTTGCCTATTAGTTTCCTATGGCCACTCTAGCAAAAACACAAACATGATGGCTCAAAACACAGATTTATTCTCTTATAATTCTGGGGGTCAGAATCCCCAAATTGAAGTCACTGGGTTAAATCCATTCCCTTGCCTTTTCTGGCTTCTGGAGGCTCCCCACCATCCTTGGCTTACGGCTCCCTTACTACTTCTCCAAAGCCAGCAATGTCTAGTCAGGCCTTCTCACTCTCCATCACTGTGACACTCTCCTCCTCGCTTTCACTTATCAGGACTCTCATGATTAAACTGGGTCCACCGAATTAATGCATAATAATCTCCCCATCTCCAGATCCTTAATCACACGTAGGACATCTGTTCTGCCATGTAAGGTAACATATTCATATGATCTGGGAATTAGGCTGTGGACACCTTTCAGGGAACAGGACCCTGCCCACTGCAGAAGTATAGTTAACCAGCACATTACTGGCACCTAAGGATATCTTCTGTTGCCAGAATTACCATTATTGGCTGGTAGAGCCAAGCTCCTAAGATCCTGAAATGTCAATGGAAGTTCATTTTGAACAATTGAAGTAATTTTATGAAAGAGACTAGAAATGATGGAAGTCAGACTATTATCTGTATAGTTCAGGCACATTTGGCATTATATGAATTTTTGTTGGTCAACCCAGAAATTTAACTACCATCGCACACATTGCTTCTGTAGAATACATGCATCTGTATTTCCCAACAACTTCCTCCTCCTGAATTAACCTATAAATACCAGTCATTTCTAAAGGAGATTATCCTTTGAGAAAAGTAACCCATTAGGCCATTACGGTCTATTTACATGTAACTTTAAATTTGGTGTTTCAGCCATCTAGTAGATCTCAGAAAGACAAAAACAAAGGCTATTGTTTGATGGAAGCACATTCATTCAGTTCATATTCATTGTGCTCTGCTCTGAGCCAGGCATTGTGCTAGCAACTGCATTTTCTTTCTTTTTTCTTTTTTTTTAAATAAATTATGTATGTATGTATGTATGTAACGGGTTACTTGTGGGTTTTTTTTTGTTTTTTTACAGTTTTAAAAGATTATACTCTGTTTATAGTTTTATAAAATATTGGCTCTATTTCCCATGTACAATATATCCTTACAGCTTATTTTATACCTAATAGTTGGTACCTCTTATTTCCCTACCCCTATCTTGCCCTTCTCCCCACCGGTAAACCACTAGTTTGTTCTCTGCATCTGTGAGTCTGCTTCTTTTTGGTTATATTCACTAGTTTGCTGTATTTTTCAGATTCCACATGTAAGTGATAACACAGAGTATTTGTCTTTTTCTGTCTGATTTATTTCATTTAGTGTAATGCTCTCCAAGTCAATCCACGTTGCTGCAAATGGCAACATTTCACTCTTTTTTATGGCTGAATAGTGTGGCATTGTGTGTGTGTGTATTTCTATATGCCTGTATCTCACATCTTCTTTATTCATTCATCTGTTGATGGATACTCAGGATGTTTCCGTATCTTGGCAATTGTAATGCTTCTATGAACAGTGGGGTGCATGCACCTTCTTGACTTGGTGTTGTTTTCATTTTTTTCAGATATATGCCCAGAAGTGGAATTGCTGGGTCATATCGTAGTTCTATTGTTAGTTTTTGGAGCGACCTCCATACTGTTTTCCACAGTGGCTGCACCAATTTACAGTCCCAACAAAAGTGCACCAGGGTTCCCTTTTCTCCACATGCTCACCACAGTTATTATTTGTGATCTATTTGATGATGGCCACTCTGACCGGTGTGCGGTGACATCTCATTGTGGTGTTGATTTGCAGTTCCCTGATGATTAGTGATGTTGAGCATCTTTTCATGTGCCAATTGGCCACCTGCATTTCCTCTTTGGAAGAAACATCTATTCAGTTCTGTCTCCTAAAACAAAAGAAATAAAAGTAAAAATAAACAAATCAGACCTAATTACACTTAAAAGCTTCTGCACAGCAAAGGAAACCATTGACAAGACAAAAAGCAACCCACTGACAGAGAAAATACTTGTAATGATATGACCAATAAGGGGTTAATATCCAACATATATAAACAGCTCATAAAACTCAACATTAAAATAAAAAGCCTAACTGAAAAAGGGAACTGCATTTTCAATGGCAAAATGAGGGCTGTCCTCCCCAGCTTTAGTCAAATAGAAGTAATTATAGGAAGAGGAAGAGAAAGGTACAAATCAAGGTTACAAGGAAGTTGTGGGATGGGGAGGGCTTGATGACTTACTATTATGAGAATGTTTTGTCAGCTAGGAGAATAGTCTGCGAAACGGAAAAGAAAGATCATTAAAGAGGCTAAAATAAATTATTGCCTGCTTTAATGATTTTGTCTCGGGCTCAGCTATCCGGCGGGCACGTGCCCCTACTCAAGTGCTACTGCTTAAAAAGTATTCCACTTCAACGTGGCAGAATTTCTTATTTTCAGAAGCTCAGAAAAAATGATTTGAAATAGCATGAAATGACAATACACACATGTCTTAAACTCCATGCTTCAATTTCTCTGACTGACAAGAGGAAGAATAGTTACTTGAATAGAAATGATTATTTTTATTTCCCTTGTAGGCTATTTGTGGACTCTGTGGGTTTATCATTAAATAATGGACAGTGAAACAAATTTCTTTCATCTCTTGAAGAGTTTGAATCTTTCTTAAATCATTTTGAACTGTTTATCCCCTTTTGGAGCATTCATATAGATAAGCATATTTTAAAAATAGAACCAGAATGTAACAGTAAACATATTTTGTAAGGCAACTGATTGTCACTATGGCAACAGTGTATGTGTTTGACATTAGTCTTTCCATTATTCTCTGTTGCTATAGCAACGAAACCTTGGATTCTGACACCATTTCCAAATTCTATTAGAATGAAGCCCCTTTCACCCCTCCAAGGAGAAGGAAGGGCCAGTACTATTAATGCACAAAGATATATGAGAATATTTCCTAATACTAGGGCATGGATGACATGAGACACACTTTGCCGCACTTTAATCAAACTAAAAAACATGCTGAAAAAGTAGAAAAACATAGAGGAAAAAAACTCCGAAAGCAGAACAATAGTAAAGCGATCTTTTTGTTATTAAGAATCAGCCTTATATCTTGAACGTGAATAAAAACAGCTTTAATTTATGAGATGCTAAGTTTAAATCAAATATTAATGGACAAAGAATATTTTTGTTTCTTTTTAGGAGAAATAAATAGGAGAATAATGGCAATTGAGGGCCACAACATGAGTAGGGAAATTTCTTGGGGTTTTGAGGGACTTTGGTGTTTAAGAAAATATACGGGGTGCAGGCAAGATGGTGGAGTAGAAAGACTGTGAGCTCAACTCCTCTTATGAGCAAAGGATCCTCTCCTCTCCTCTCACACCAAAATCACATCTGCAGAACAATCACTGATGAGAAAAGAAACTGGAAACTACCAGAAAAGATCTTCTACAACTAAAGACACAAAGAAGGAACCTTAGCGAGAGAGGTAGGGAGACAGGAAGGGGGCAAGGCACAGCCATTCAGGAATGACAGCAATCAACATTAAAATGGTGGGAGATTCAACTCCTAGTAGGTCTTGAGGCTGAAGATGGTGGGAAATTTGACTCCTCGTGGCCCTTGAGCTTCCTTATACGCCCACCGTAATATATTAGCATGGTGAGTAACATGCCCACAGGTGCTATGACAGCTCCAAGGTGAGCCACAAAAGGTCAAAGGGTGGGAAATGGCCAACTTCCTGGGAATCCCAGCCCCCTCCCCAGGCTAGTTAAAGCATTTGTTAGCATATGAAGCTACCAAGCCCATAAAAACTGGCAACACAGCTCCCTTTTTGCTCCCTCCTCTTTAGAAAGGGCCCGCGCTCTGTGGAGTGTGTATCTACTTTTACTCTAATCTGAGAACCCAACCCTCACACCTCGTGGCCTTTCTCTTCCCTTACCCTCTATGCAGTGACGTATCTCTAAATAAACCTTTACACAACTGTGGCTCACTCTTGAATTCTTCCCTGCATGAAGCCAAGACCCATACTTGGAGGGGCACATCCCAGGGCCTCCACTGAGACCTGGGACACGGCCCTCCTCATGCAGCACATCTGTTTTTCCTGCATCAGTAGGAGGGGTGGATTCACAATATAATCAAAACCCATATTCCCCAGGTGGGTGACCCACAAACTGGAGAATAATTATAGTACAGAGGTTCTCCCACAGCAGTGAGAGTTCTGAGCCCCATGTCGGGCTCTCCAGTCTGGGGTTCTGGCACTGGGAAGACACACTCCCAGAGCATTTGGGTCTGAGGCCAGAGGGGCTTAACTGTAGGAGCACCACAGGACTGGAGGAAATAGAGACTTCACTCTTAAAGGGTGCACAAAAAATCTCACGTGCACTGAGACCCAGGGCAAAGCAGTAATTTGATGGGAGCCTAAGCCAGAAGTACCTGCTGGTCTCGGAGAGTTTTCTGGAGAGGTGGGGGCTGGTACGGGGAAGAGCTGTGGGACACAGACACTGGTGGGAGACATACTGGGGAACATTCAGCCTCACGAACACTGCTGCTGTGGGTGGCTGACATTTTGGTTCCTTACTGTCAAGACCTAGTACCACCCAACAGCCTGCAGGTGCCAGTGTTGAGATGCTGCAGGCCAAACAACTAACTGGGTGGGGACACAGCCCTACCATCAGCAGACAGGCTGCCTGAAGACTAAAGGGCCCACAGCTACTCCTGGACATGCCCCTAGAAATGGCCCAGCCCACTGGAGGGCCAAGATGCAGCTCCACCCACCAGTGGACAGGCACTGACACCTTTTGCCAGGAAGTCTGCACGAGCCTCTAGGTCAGCCTCACCCACCAGGGTGCAGACACCATAAGCAAGAAAACTATGATCCTGCAACACAGGCTGGACCCTACCCTCGCTGGGCCCTGGTCCCGCCCCCTGGCAGGCCAATGCAACCTCCGGAATACCCCAGACCCCACACCCAACTGTTAGGAATCCGCCTTCCCCCGCTCCCACCGAATGATCTGAAAGAAACTCTGGGATCCCTGAGCACTGTAGCCAGAGTCCAGGAGCCAGCTCTGCCTGCCAGGAACCTGGAACTGAGCCCAGGATCTGGCTTCACTGGCTAGCGGGTGGGCAACAGGCCCAGATGCCTTGGGACCCTGACTCCACTCACCAGTGAGCCAGCACCAGCCCTGAGGCCCCCTAGAATTCTGCCAGCAGACACCTCAGGAGCAGGCAGCCAGCAGCAACTGCGCAAGGCAGGCCCTGGCAACCAACCAGCCTAGGGGCCAACCAAACCCGCCAGACCCACCACACAGTCAGCCTGCGACAACAGAAGGACTAATGCAGCCCTCTTATGGGGGAACCCCGGGAGCTTGTAGCTTGGGTGACGAGAGGAGAGTGCACTGCTGGGACACATAGGACATCTCCTACAGAAGGTCACTTCTCCAAGGGTGAGAAACAAAAACCTACCACGTACATAAAAATACAAAGAGCAACTTAGACAAAATGAGGCAGCAGAGAAGTGTGTTCTAGATGAGGGAACAAAATAAAACTCCAGAAGAAGAGCTAAGTAAAGTGGAGACAGGAAACTACCCAAGAAAGAGTTCAGAGTCATGATCATAAAGATGATCAAAGAAATCAGGGAAAGAATTGGATGCACAGAGCAAGAGGTTAAAAGTCTTTAACAAAGAGATAGAAAATATAAAGAGCATCCAAACAGAGATGAAGAATACAATAAATGAAATGAAAAAATACACTAGAAGGAATGAACTAAATGATTCAGAAGAATGGATCAGTAAGCTGGAAGACAGAGTGGCGGAACTCACAGCCGCTGAAAAGAAAAAAGGGAAAAAAATAAATGAGAACAGTTTAAGGGACTATGGGACAACACCAAGCTAACTAATATTCCCATTATAGGGGTCTGAGAAGGAGAAGAAAGAGAGAAAGGACCCAAGAAAATGTTTGAAGAGATAATAGCTAAAAACTTGCTTAACCTGGGAAAGGAAATAATTACCCAAGTCCAGGAAGCAGAGAGAGTCCCACACAGGATTAACAAAAGAGGAACACACCAAGACGCACTGTAATTAAAAAGACAAAAATTTAAGATGAAGAGAGAATACTAAAAGCAGCAAGGGAAAAGCAATAAATGAAATAGAATTTCAGCAGAAACGCTGCAGGCCAGAAGAGACTGGCGTGATATATTTAAAATAATGAAAGGGAAAAACTTACAACCCAAACTGCAGAAGCAGTTCTCAGAGGGAAGTTTACAGTGATACAAGCTTACCTCAGGAAACGAAAACCCTCAAATAAACAACCTAGCCTTACGCCTGAAGAACCTAGACAAAGCAAAACAAAGCCCAAACTTAGTCGGAGGAAAGATCATAAAGATCAGAGAAGAAATACATGAAACGGAGACTGAAAAAGAAAGAAAGAAACAAACAAACAACCCCCCCCCCGACAAAACCCCAACAATATAAAAGGTCAGTGAAACTAAAAGCTGGTTCTTTGAAGAGACAAACAAAATTGATAAACCTTTAGCCAGATTTATCAAGAAAAAAAGGGACAGGGCACAAACCAATAAAACCAGAAGTGAAAAAGAAGTTGCAACTGACAGCATAGAAGTACAAAGGATCATGAGACTACTGTGAGCAGCTATATGCCAATTAAATGGACAACCTAGATGAAATGGACAATTTCTTAAGAAGGAACAGTATGCCAAGACTGAACTAGGAAGAAATAGAAAATGTGAGTAGACCAATTACCGGCACTGAATCGAATCAGTAATTTAAAAACTCCCAACAAACGAAAGTCTGGACCAGGTGGCTTCACAGAAGAATTCTACCAAACATCTAGAGAAGAGTTGACACCTATCCTTTTCAAACTATTCCCCCAAAATGCAGAGGAAGGAACATTTCTGAACTTATTCTATCAGGTCACCATCACCCTGATACCAAAGCCAAAGATATCATACACACACACACAAAAAAGAAAAAAGAAAATCACAGGCAAATATCACATAGATGCAAGAATCCTGAACAAAATACTAGCAAACCAAATCCAGCAATACATTAAAAGGGCCGTACACCATGATTAAGTGGGATTTATCCCCGGGATGCAGGGATTTTTCAATACGCACATAGCAAGCAGTGTGATACACCACATTAAGAAACTGGAGAATAAAAAACATATGACTATCTCTTTAGATGTAGAAAAAGCTTTTGATAAAATTCAACATCCATCTTTGATAAAATTCTCCAGAAAACGGGCATGGGGAATATACTTCAACAAAATAAAGGTCACATACAGCAAACCCACAGATAACATCATACTCAGTGATGAAAACTGAAAGCGTTCCCTCTCAGATCACGAACAAGACAAAGACGGCCACTCTCACCACTCTTG